GTACTCCGATTTATGGTCACCTATTTGCACAAACTGTTGCCTGTTTCTTAAATAGCTCTTCAGCCAGCTCAATCCAACCCCCTTATAACGTTTAAATAAATAAATAAAATAGATGCATGCTCATATTGAACAGGTGTTGTAATACTTCACACAGCTGACTGGTACATGCCTTCAGTATACAAGGGCTGATGTCATCCAGTCTGGCAGCCTTTCCCTGGTTAAGTTTTAAAAGTTCCCTCATCACCTGGTTAGCTGTGATGTATAATCCAGTGGGGCATGAGTCATGGTCTGTACTGGCGGTCAGCAGGGTGGTGGTGGGGGGTGAAAGACACAGAGGTGGGTCAGAGTAGAACTGCTGCAGGGACTGGTGGGGCAAAAAGGTTGAACTCAGTGAAGCAGTTGGGGGACTGCTGGTGGATGAGCCTGAGTCGAACCTATTGCAAAACCGATTCAGCTCATTAGCCCACTGTATGTTTCCCTCAACCGCAGCCCCACCACTTTTCTGGAACCCAGTGATCTTCCTCATCCCACTCCACACCTCCCTGTCCTCACTCCGCTGTAATTTTTCTGCCAGTCTCTGCCTGCAGGAGTTTTTACTCTCCCTGAGTCTCCGTTTAAGTTCACTCTGTACCAGGGGCATCACTAGGAGTTGAAAACATCCGGGGCTTTAGCCCTGAAGTGGGAACAATTTTTTTACCTGGGGGTCGGGGGGTTTCTTCCCTGGCAAAATTTTGAATAATTCCCTGTTAAAAACGTGATTCTAACGTATTTTGACAGAGCATTTTGTCAAAGAATGAGCACTCGTCTTCTTTTATTGGGTTGCCCAAATTGTTAAACCCGAAAGCTCCCCAACTGGGGGACTTTGAAAACGACTTTGCAAACACAGTGTGAAACAATGCACTAATCATGAAGAATATAGTAATGTTGCACATCAAATTAAACAGCAGAACCTGGGCTACAAGGCTGTATAAACCATTTTTACATGCCCCAAACACAGCTTAAACAACAACTAAATGAATAACAACAAAACTCCATACAGCACCGATGTGCCGACCCACTCGCCATATTTTGGGCTCTAACTCGACGCCACGTTGTGCAAAACATACAGCATACACCTCAAAAGAAAGCAGATACTCTGCCGTTTCCACACATACGCGCCAAAGCACACTACACCAAAGCATCAGAGAGACAGAGGCCAAAGAACAACAACAGCAGAAATCGTTTCGCCAAACGATAGTTGTAAAATTTCTCTTACCTTTGTTGTTTTGCCATGAAAAGTTTATTCTGCCGGTAAAACACGGTACATCCTAGTAGACGGACATGTGCTGCATTCAAATGAATCCGGGCGAACATGACGGGCTTTAGGTTCCAGGGGGAAGCATTACAATGACCGCATGCAGCAGCTGGTTTTGGTGGGTATAGCATCATTCCATTGGCTCTAACGAATCAAACAAGGTGTCAATCACTCAAATCGACCAATCTGTTGTGGAGATAGAGCCTCCAAAGCACAGAGGAGAAAATTTGATTCACATGATGGTGTGTAGATGGTGTGCTGCCTTTTTGTTTTTTCCAAAAAAATCGTCTAATATCCATACTTACTACAAGACTAAGTAAAACACGGCGACTCGGTGCTGGCCACCAGTATGCACAATAAATACAATTGTAATACCTACTCAAGTTGCACTTGAAAATTGACTGCCCATATATGGGCATATGCCATGTAAGCTGGTGTGACAGTGAGTGTGTTGTGTGCTGCTGTGCTGCGTTCGCTGCTGTCTGTTGTGTTCCTGTGCCGTGACATGGATTTTAAGTTGGAAACGAGGTGCTTTATTAGTAAAACCCCCCCCAAAAAACGGAGGCTTAAAAGATCCGGGGCTGAGCCCAAAACATCCGGGGCTATAGCTGGGAATGCCCAGGTCTAACGACGTTCATGCTCTGTACACGTTTCAGTTCTGTTCTGTCCACTGACCTAAAGGCCCTCTTTTTTTTCATTTAGTAGGGCCTTCAAGTCACTAGTGACCCAGGGTTTGTTATTTGAGTAACATCGGATCACTAAGTGGGAATAGTGGTATCAACAAAGATATTTATGTAATCAGAGACACAATCCATAATGCTATCTATATCTTCCCCATGTGGTTCATAGAGGGCATTCCAGTCAGTAGACTCCAGAGCCCACGCAAGGACTCCATGGCCTCATGAGACTATTTCTTCACTGTCCTAGTTATGATAGTGATAGTCTGATGGCAATCAGCTCGATATTTGGATTGCAGACACGCTCCGTGATGTGCCCAGGATGACACCACTTACAGTTTATTAACACGACAAGACCATCTCCTTTCTTTTTGCGGCTCACTGTGGTGTCTTGGTCCTCATGGACTGTGTGGAAGCCAGGGATGGTCACACTGGAGTCCGGTATCTGTTCGTGCAACCATGAGTCCGTGAAGCACATTATACTGCATTCTTTGTAATTCCTCTGTGTCTTGACAAGCACGTCCAGTTCCTCCATTTTATTTGCCAGGGATCTTACGTTTCCCCTGATGATTATTGGGATACAGAGTTTAAATCTCCTTTTCTTCATCCTCCATTTAACACCCACTCTACAGCCCCGTCGTGTCTTCCTCAACTCCTCCAGGATTTCGGGCTTTTCTCCAGCCACTGCGGTCGGTCGCAAGGCGATCAGCTGATCCCGTGTGTAGGAAAGGCCAATGCTACCCTCTGCTACCAGGAGTGACCCAATTAAACATAATAATAAAACGCATCCTAGCCCCTGGAACTGCATCTTGGCAAAGTATAATGTCCTTGAAACTTTGCACTACTTAACAAAACCTGTGAAAACACACGTTTAAGGTGACAAAAAAGTTGACATAAAGGACAAGAGCAATAGCTGCTAAGACAGGCTGTCACCATGACACATCGCCATGTATATAATATAAAATAAACAACAAGATGGTGATGAGTGCCCTTTTTGTGAGACATGTCTTTCTATTTCTTTCAATAATTGTATTCTTTAGTGTTTAAAATTTGGCCCATGGCATCAATTTTCAATTAAAGGCGTGTTGTGTGTCAGTTGCATCTGAGTTGAGCTCCAGCCCCTCCCTCTTCAGCTTCACTTGTCATCAAAGCCACAACAGTTATGACACGCAATCAAGCGCCCTGCAGAGCAGCATCACATCTCCCTGACCTGCCTTCATGGACAGCCAGGTGACAATGTTGTTTGACCTGAGCCTCGCAGCTGTTCGTTACTGTTGTGAAATCAAACCACTTACAAAACATCTCATTTACAGCCAGTCTAATTAGGAGAAGAACTCACTATTAAGCTTAGCTACATGTGAGCTAGTCTGGCTGTTTGGCTGATTCAGGTTCACCAACTGCCCGGTGTGAGCGGAGACAGACGCCAAATTACTTTTCCACCTCCATGTATCTCTTTAAACCAAAATTTAAAATTTAAAAGTATGTTTTACATGCGGTTTGGTCCTGCTCTAACATGCTATGCTGAAAGAGTTCAGAGGTGCAGCGGGAGACAGCGGAGGTGCAGCCACTGCACGCATCTGTTCCCTGGTATTCTTTAAGAATATTTAAAGCTTATTTAAAAGATAATTATAGAAATTAGCATGTGGCTGTTCAATAAAAGAGAAGGGAGAAGAAAATGAGGAGATGAGGAAAACAAATTGAGAGGAGTAGAAGAAAGGAGTGGAAAATAAAGTGAGGAGAAGAGCAGAACACACTTAGCCTTATTGTTACAACTGAACATAGGTCTGCTTTGTAGTTTGGAAGGTAGGTTGTTTGGTTTATTATTGCATTTATTCAGAGAACAGGGCTTTTCGGTTTCTGTCAAGATTTGCTGATTTTGAATGGTTTTATAGAGCACTAAAGTGTGCACAGTGTGTGTCATTTATGTCTTTGTTGTAGCCTGTTATTAATAAATGATAAATGTATAAGGTGCTAGATGTATACAGTATACTGTAGAGCTTGAGACACCTCATTTGTAAGACAGACCTTTCTCTAGCTCATAACTGTGCACAAATATCCTTACTGAGGCCTCAAGAAACCCTCTGGTGCTGGCGGATAGAAACCTCCTAGCAGGATGTACTTTGCATGCACACATTTTTTGTTTTTTTGCACCAGAACACTCTGTGTGCAAAAAAGATCAAATTGTGGAAGAGATGTTCCTTCTTCCACTTGAGCACCTGCCCATCAAAATGTCTGTGCGTGGCACTGCTCTTCTTCATCTGCAGGCTGAGGAGGCTCAATACTGACTTACATCTTTAAAAGTATCCTGACCCAGCTGCTATGCACCGTCTGTTATAGCAGTTGTACGCCCCCCAACCATAAGGCTCTACAGAGAGGTGTGAAAACTGCACTGCACGTCACCAGTAGCTGCCATCCATGGAATACCTCTACCAGCAGTACAGGAAGAAGGCCAGTAGAATTATTAGACACCCCAATCACCCCAGCCACAAACTGTTCCACCTGCTGCCATGTGGCAGCCGGCACTGCAGCATAAGGCTTAGGGACAGCTTCATTCCACAGACAATAAAACTTTTGAACTCTTGAGCACTGAGAACTTTACCTTTGTATACTTTTACTAAGTGTTTTACATTGTTTAAAAAAAGCTTACACCTCTGTATATTTATATTTATTATTTCTCATCATGTATAGGCATTTACTACATTTCTGTTTATTCATTTGCAATAACCCCTTTCCCCCCCCCACAAATTAATATTATTTTATATTAGATTTTATATATGTGATATTTTATCTCTTTGTTTTAACTTGCACAATATTATATCTTGAATTATTTATTTTTTACATGCATGATTTGTTTCTCTATATATATTCATTACAGTATTGTTGAAAGGAGCCCAAGATCTGACTTTTTCATTGGTAATGACTGCTTCCTTATAATAACAAATAACTTGAGACCAGAACCGTCCCTTAGGTACATATCCCTGTTGTCATGTAACACTGATGATAATGAGGAAATTACTGCAAGAAATCACCTCTCGCTCTCATCTGCAGCCTTCTCAGCCTCCTCCAGCTTCTGCAGAGCCGTTGCGAGTCTCTCCTGAGCGCGGTCCAACTCTTCCTCTACTAGCTGGATACGTCTGTTCAGAGATGCCACTTCTGCTTCAGCCTGAGCACAGATAAACATGGTGCAGACATGTTTAGACAAACCAGTGTTCTGCCTACAGCTGTGCTGAGCAGAAAACCATTACACCAAACCATCTGAGAAGTAATGTGTGGAAACTTTTGGATTCTGCAGATAGATGGAAAAATTGTGGATAAAGGTGAGTCTGACTTTGTAAAATGCAATTACTTCACACTATTACCATAGTAGTGACTTTAAAGTCACCTGTTAGCTTGTCACTGAGCCATTTTCACCTGGTATTAATTTGTGTCTTGAGTGATTAAATTGCAAGTGGACAGCTCCAAGTATTTTCTGTTCACACCTGGCATCAGAATGCATCTCCATACAGCAGGCAAAATTTCTTTTTTTTATGTTATCAACTGTTTTTATTCAATTTTTCCACCATTTCATATAACCAAATATGATAACCTCACTTTTACAATACGAACATTGCCTTATAGGGGAATGATGCCCACATCCAGAGTGTCCAGGTGGTGTGTCCACAGTCCTAAAAGGTCCGAGAGGCATAGTCAATAATCAGTGATTATCCAAAGTCCAGACATATGTGGCAGGTTGAGTGCTGCTCCACCTCCACTCTCAATCAGTGTCACCTGGGCCTGATTGCGCAGCGGTGCCACCTGTTTAATTGGCCCTGCTTTCGCTCGTGTGCTCACATTGGCCTGGCGTTTATCGGGACAGGGCTCTGTCTAGTGTGCTCCAGTTGTTGGCACAAAACGGCAACTTGTAAGGTAGGCATAGGTGCTGCTATATGAGTAATTTAATAGCGCATCATGGTGTGATAGCTGCCGGTTATTACTTTACAGCGCCGTCGGCCGTGCTGTGTGTGTGCGCGCAACTTTGTGGAGATTGAGGAGTGTGCCGTCTGGGGGCGGGGGCGGCTGTCCACGGTCTCCAGCCCCGGTGTGGTCGCTCTGTCTTCTGCTGCTGCCAGTGACAGTATTTTACGCACATTGATTAAAGTGCGCCCGGTAACCTTGCCTTATGCATATGCAGCTTCAGGTTCTCCATCCCAACACAACTCCTTTTGTTCGATTAATTTCTTTCTGTTTGCTTATATGGTTTATTTGTTTCGTTTGATTATTTTCTTTTTATTTAGTTCAATATTCCGCTGTGGGTTTGCTCTTAAGTTACTGTACAACTAGTTACTACTCCTGGTTTCCGCCCGCAGCTGAGTTTTGGGGGTTTAGGTTGTTTTGTTTTATTATAATCTTGTTACTTTGTGTTTCCTTTGTGTATTTGTAATTGGTGTCAGTCATTTAATCAGTTATTGGGTTTATTCTGTTCCTGTTTGTGTGTGTGTGTGTGTGTGTGTGTGTGTGTGTGTGTGTGTGTGTGTGTGTGTGTGTGTGTGTGTGTGTGTGTGTGTGTTTAGTATAGGTCTCCTGTTTTAACT